TCACAGAAATTATACACTTTCCTTCATAGACTCAACGGGAAGACCTTCTTGGACGGTTGTGTCAATAACGCCCAGTTGCTCATTGCATAGATCCGGAGGACTTTTGTTTACTGCATGCATTTACACAATTAAATGAATTGCGCGTTTCTCAGACTTGAATCATTTTCGGAGTGGTAGCTTTAGTTTCCCCCGGAAATTGATGTGCTTTAACCAGTTTCCACACTCGTATGTTCAGCCCGACCTGAAAAAAGCGCAATCAGCTAGGAAAATAGTAGTTTATTCAATTGACGAAGTCCGCCAGGACATTTAAAAGCGCTGCTGCGTTAAAAAAGGGTTGGGTCGGTTACACCGTCCTGGTCCCAAGTGTAGGCGCAATGTAAGCATTGTCAGTAGTGGGAAAGTAGCCAAAACCAAAACGTAAAAGAGCAACTTGATGTTCCGGTTTGGATGTAGGGTTAGGGTTAGTGTTAGATTGAGAATTGAATTTAGGGTTAGGATTGTGATAAGTTTAAGGGTTCCGGTTAGAGTTAGGGTTCGGATTGAGGTTTAGGTTTCCGTTTAGTGTTAAGACTGGGTTTAGGTTTTATAATGGGGTAGGGTTATGGTTAGGGTTAATGTTATGGTTAAGGTTAGGGTTTCGGTTAGGGTTAGGGTTTGAGTCAGAGTTGATATTAGGCTTAGGGTTAGGGCTAGGGTTTATGGCAGACTTAGGGTTAGGTTTAGTGCTAAGATTGAGGTTAACGTTAGGTTTATAAGTACGTGAAGGATTAAGTTAGCTTTTTGGGGTCACAGTTAAATGTAAGGTTAGGTTTGTGGTATTGCTGTCCACGTCTTCCGTCAGCCAGGTCTTTTACGGCGATTCTAGGCTTCCTTCAATCTCGCGGCAAATTTGTTATACATCGGGTTGCTTTTTCCGTTTCAGCCTGGGCTACTTTTCCCACTAACGATTACAACATCTCCCTTTGGCTTACTTTACTTTTAATGCCCGCATTGCACTTAAACATGGGACCAGGAGAGCGTAATCGATCCTTGCCAAAAGAGACTTAAGTCAGTTTAATTCAGTTTATTAAGAGAATGGGACTTACGCCCATTCATATCAAAACAAAGCGATAGAATTAATTGATGCGTCAGGAAATCTGGAAATTCGAAAGTTATCGGTATGTGTGAGCCAGGCACAAACTGATGCCTCTTAGACAATCGGGATCATAGGTACAGTGGTTTCTCAGCAAATGAGCAGTTAGTCTGCATTTAAAGGATTCAATAGTTTCGGTAAGAACCACCGCGCCAGGGAGTCCATTCCGTGCTCCAATCGCCATCTGCGAGAAGGCGTTCCGTCGGAGGTCTGTGTGGGTGAACTTCCGTTACACTTTAAAGGGATGACCATGCAGATGGCCCTTCTCAGCCAATTCGAAGATTTCGTCAAAGTTTATTTCACACTGACGGCCTCTGATAGTCCGGTAGGTTTAACTGAGGTCGCCGCGCAGTTGCCGGTAATTCAGAAGAAACAGGTTCAGTTCAGCCAGTGTGGTTTCGTAAGGCAGATGATCAAGATTCTGCACCATCTTCGTAATTATCGCCTGTATTCATTCCAGCTGTTGACAGACCCTCTTGAACCACGGTCGCCAGACCTGGACTGCATGCTCTAAGTGAGGCCGAACAAATGCCCCGAAGGTTTTTCCAAGCAGCTGCTTTGCGATCTGCACAAATCCTCGCCTCAGCACAAATAACATCAGTACTGCGCGTTTGTCTGCCCTTAAACGCTGTGAGGATGGTTTAAGGGAGGAGGTCATTGGGACGCCGAGGTCTTTCTGTTCCTCGGCAGTAGAAAGGGGCTGCACATTAAGGATGTCTCGAAGTGAATCATTCTCCTTACTGGTCTTTCTAGTGCGGAGTCTCAGGACTACACTTTTGTCCACATTAAAGGTGAGGAGACAACGAGCTGACCAACTGCCCAGTCGATTGAGACTTCCTTAGAGGGCGTGCCTGTCTGGGTTGAACCGATGGCTCTCCTGGGTTTGACATCGTTAGCAAACATGACGACGCTGCATCCCAGGTCGTTGGCACTGTCGTTAGAGTAAATTAGGAATGGCAGCGACCCTATGACTGAACCCTGGAGGACACCACTTAGAACGGGGTGTGGGAGTTGACTTCGAGGCCTCAATACACATGGTTTATGATCTGCCTTTAGAAACATCTGCGATCCGTGCCAGCAGCTATCTTCATATTCCAATTTCAGACAGGTTGTAGATTAGGCGTTTGTGTGAGACTCTGGCGAGCTCCTTCCTGGAATCCATGCAGATGACATCGACCCTCGTCTAGAGCGCGAGTATGAACGCTTCCGTCTGAAGCCGTGCTAGGACCCTGAGAGTTGGTGGTTCTCCACCAGAACCTTCGCTGTTACTTTATTAAATGTGACTTCATTTATTTTACTGCTGATGCAGGTAAAAATAACGGATCGGTGGTTGCTAACGCTAGTTCGAGTCCTACTCTTGTGTATCGGGTAGATATTTGCTGTCTTGCAATCTCCCCAATTCAAGTGTCGAATGGAAGATGGGCGCAAGTGGTTTGGAGAGTTCGTCTGCCAATCCCTTCTAGAATTTGGCCGGAATATTGCCCGGACCCAACGACTTTGCTTCCTCGCAAAGCGCCCAGTGTTATCCTATTAAGTGGATCTCAAGCAAATTCAAAACGGTCTCATCATCCTGGAAATGCCTGAATTGGTTCATATTTCAGTTGGGTGTCTCGTGTACAGTTGAATTTGACAGGACAATTTAGTAAAGGTGGATGAATGTTTGAATTCTTTCTGACATCCAGTAGGCGTGTTAGCTTATGAAATCTTAGTCGAAATTCTGAAATGCGTTCTAGACTCGAAAAGATTGCATGAGTAGTATCGTAATATTAATTGCCATGCAGCATAATCCCAGGATATTTCGATTACCTTAGGATGCCGGTTTTTGGACGGACTTACTTCCAGCCGCCTGCAAAAGCCACACCCTATGAACAATGACCGTTTAAGTAGTGAGCATTTTTCGTATTGATTTTCTATGTCGTTATATATCCAAATATATTTCATAGTAAACAAACATAAATGTCCATTCTTTTAATCATTGGGAAGGAAATTGCATTTTCCGAGAGTTTTATACTTGAGGAAAGGGTATTACTTGGTTTTAAAACTTTTTCCATTTCCCGAATAATTTTGAACCTGGCCTGCTGATACACTTGCATTCAGGGTTTCCAAACTACATGCTGTATATTTTCCGTGCACGGAAAATCAATAGTTCCTATATGCTCTTAAGAGGAAACCATATGGGTTCAAAAAAGTATCTAGGGGATTTGAGTCACATTTAAGCTTTACAAACAATATCTTTAAATGCGAAGACATGGTGATTTATGGATGAGCAGTTAACGGTCTTAAAAAATCTCATAATTAGGAGCTTTTAAAACCGAATTATACCCTTCCTTCAAGAATGGAAGTTAAGAGTCGTAATTCCCTTGTAAAAGTTTCTGACTATGTGAGTTTTAAGACCTTTAATTGCCCTTTCACAAAACACCGCGTCTTTTCATTTACTAATGTTCGTACGACGTGGTTTCGTAGCCCCACTTGATGAACACAATAGAGTTGGGTTAAGGGTTACGGGTTACAGTTAGGGATTATGGTTATGGGTTAGGGTTAGGGGGTTGGGGTTTAGGATTAGGGGTTATAGTTGGGGGTTGCGGTTAGGGGCTAGCGCAACTATTCCTCAGCCATTCAATGCACAAACGCGCATTTCCAATAGCGTTTCGTTTGCATAAAATTACATGGCCTTGTCGCCTGTGCGTTCCCCTGCCCCACCTGTAAAAACCCCCATTACCACCGGTCCCCTATCATAGGTGACTGTGGTTTGTTTACTTCGGGTGGGGCTAAATAACCACATCTAACCCTAGTGTTGTCCGTAAAGCTTAAAACGTGGCTCGAATCCATTGTTAAATTTTATGAAATCCATATGGTCTTCTCTTAAGAGTTAGAATTTCATGAATTAGCACGTTTACCGTATATGTTTTTATACATCTCATTGACTCAAGTGTACTTTTAAGTGATCAAAAGTATGAATAGCCATAACTGGATCGTTATTACTTGTTTTTCAGTCTCCTGGGTGGACAGAAACCAGCTAAACACTCCCGTTTGTCATCCGTCAGAGAGCGTCAATCAGTCGGGATACGCGACATGCTTCTTCTAGAAACCCCACAGACAGTCTCATTGCGACCAATCTTGACACAGAAAGAAATACCGGCTTATTAACCATCTCTCGTCAGCCATGTCCAGACCCCCGCACCTTAATAACCGAGGAATCCGAAGTCGAATTCCGGGTCGTGCAAACCTAGGGTTGCGTAAGTTCGGTTGATGACGGCCAAAAGGCCAGAACTGGCCAACTCAGTCTCTCGGTGCATTTTCCTACACGATTCCTAGTGGCTATGAGACGACTGGCGACGCCAACAAGCCAGAAGCAGTCATCCCCTCTTCTTTATTCTTTTTTTCGTGATTCGCATCGTGCTTCCATTAGATACCGACCGGAAACATTGCTTCAGTGAATAAATTATCCGCCATAAAAAGTAAACTCTCTGGTAGGGACGCTCGCCGATCGTTCTTACGGAACTCACTCGTTCCGTTGTGGCTTACGGGCCATTTCTGACTTGTTAGCCGTCGTCAGCAAGTCATACCCAATCCCGAAGTGTGGAACATCCGAGGCTCGAACTCGCGAACCGTTTGTTAGAAGTCCACGGCGCTAACTTCATGTCCACGTCCATAGTAACCCCTGTCTTTGCTAAAGGCGTCTTTCTTTTACTCAACATTCTACATTTGGACACTGGAAATAGGAGGACGTATTTGGCTAGAGACGAACTTTCATGGATAAGACAGTTGCGGTTGTGCGGTGACCCGTATTCTAAAGTAGTAGAACCACGTAATTGATTAAAGAAGCATAAAGGCAACCCGTTACGACATTCGTTGAAGGAAAGCGTAGTTACGACGTGATGTCAATTGTAGTGAAAATGAGATTCCCAGGTGGCGTATCAGAAGAAGAGGCGTTCAACAGGAGGGGTTTATTAGCGGTCCGACGTTTCGAGTAGTTGCTTCGTTCACCCACCTTTAGGGACTGGGAAGTCGTGCGCACAGCTCTCCTTATATGGCCCACCACTGCGGCCTGTGTGGATGCATCCGACGCGCATGTCACCGTGACCTGAATCGCACCGCCCTCATCGGCCGCTGAGATAGTTGACAACTCCGATTGTCCCGCGCCGTGACTGTTTCCGTTCAGAAGGCCGGTAGAGTCAGCTAGGGGGAGAGACAAATTGATGTGGCGGTTGACAGAGCAGTCGGTGGACATCCAGGCTTCTTGCTTCAGCCTTGTTTGATCATCGCCCCGGCTCACAATCTCAAAGGCGTCAAAGTTGGAAATGTGTCCCATTTGCACGGCGTGGGTTGCTACCTTCGTGATGTCCAAACGCCTTCATTGCAACCGAAGTTCTCAGGTGGCACGGTAGAAATAACTGTGTTCTATTCCAGCTACGTCTTTCTTCCTGTAATTTTGACACGCAAAGACGGATTGGTTTAGCTCTTTCAGGCACAGAATCAGTTAGGGTCAGATGTGGTTATTAAGCCCCACCTGAAGTAAACCAACCCCACCTATCTGTAATACGGGACCGGTGGTCAAGGGGTTTCTACAGGTGGGGTCGCGAAACGCACAGGCGACGAGGTCAAGTAGTTGTATGCAAAAGAATAGCTATTGGGGATGCGCGGTTGTACTGTGAATGGTTGAGAAATGGTTGCCCTAACCCCAATCATAACTCCTAACTCTAATCCCTAACCCTAACCACTAACCCCAACCTCAACATTATTGCGTCCATCAGTTGGGGCTCTATAACCACATCTTACCTCACTTAGTTTATCCGCTCTGTCAGTCGACAGTTACACGAAAGAACGAAGAGGAAATGAAGTCGACTCTTAGCACATTCTTGCCACTACAAATAATCTCGCAAAAATAAATATAACTTCTGCGGATATTCCCATGTTATAATTGAGAAGTCAGTTTGACAAACATGTGTTTTCGGTAACTCTTCATCAGGCCAAAACGGTTACATAGGAATTGAAAATAAGGGAAGTTCACAGGGTTTATAAGTGTCTCTGGGGCTATTAACACTCACCGTTCCCCCGCCACCCTCGTGGCGATGTCGGCATGTTATATTCATTGGGCAGGGTGGGAGGGAGAGAGTGACACAGGCTGTGAGTGATGTTTGTAAGTCGGGTACGCTGAGCACACATCACTGCCATCAGGAGGTTGGGGCGGCGTCTAATCATCATCTGGGGTCGGCGTTGACCACGGAAGACAGAGCGCCTGTGTCAACGTCTTCTGGCAGCATAGCTCTGGATTCGCTAGCCGTATGGCCACTGCCTCGGCCGTAGCTAGCACCCGTTGGCGTAGGCTTCTGGAGAAGGTTGCTGTTGTCCGGTAGACAACCTGAAAGGCTTCTTCGGCATTGACTCGGTGGTTCGTATCGACCTGATGTGCGAGAATAGAACTTGAAATCGATTTGTTTTCACCCCTGCCTAGCCAGGCCGGTATGTGCTCACGTACTCTCTTTTCCAGGCGTCCCGTTGTACGTATAGTGTATCCCGCTCCACAGGATCAAGCGAGTGAGTAAATGCACATCGGTGTGGCCTGTAGCGGTAGTCGACCTTTACCTCCCAAGCCTAGGAGGGGAGAGTTCGTGAAACGTACGCGCAAATTCGCCGCGGGAAAGCACTAGCAATCGCTGTCTTCACATATCCTCTTACTAGGTCACTTGTTGCGTCCCCCTGAAAAGGCAGTCTTATAAATAAGTCTTTCTAATCTGCAGTTTTCATGGTGGGCTTTGTAGTGCGCTCCCCTATAAATCGGAGGATAAATCTCCCTGGGTATCCGTTTTCATGGAGTATATCCTGCAGCTGCTGGAGTTCTGCCTCAGCAGCCTTAGGAGAGCAGATACGCCGCACTCTAGCTACCAGTCCCTGGGCGAAATTGCGTGTTAATATTTAGGGGAACAAAACTGTGAAAAGTAAGGACTTGTCCCCCGTCCATGTTTTCTTTCGGAAAACCCTACGCTGGATAGATCCATCCTCTGGTCTGTGAAGAAGAATATCGAGGAACGCGATTTCGTTGTCTTCCTCAAACTCTGCAGAGAGCTTCAGCGAGGGGTGGGCACTGTTGAACTTTCGTACCAGGGCGTCTGTGTCGGCGATAAGATCCGTCAGGCAGAAAATATCGTCCACGTACCGGCCGTAACCGGCGTGTGTGGCCGATCTCTTTAGCTCTGTCAGCCACTGCCCCCGATCCTGCTTCCAGTCTTCTAGACTCCGTTTGAACACAGTACTCAGGAGTCTTAGGTAGGAGCAGAGCTAGTCCATTGTCGCTAAAAACTGATTCAAACTTAAGTCATCGTCCCTACGTTCACCTTGCTTGCGGTGGACCCGCGTGAGAATCGACGGTTGAAGTGTTATCAAGTTACAGATTTTGGAAAGCATTAAGGGAGTGAGTTGGATTTAATTGTCAGGGACATGTTTTGTAGGACCATGTCCATGATCTAAATGAAACTTCAACGAAACTCATGAAATCTCAACATGAATTTCAAAATGCGTTTCCGTTTCGAAAAGATTGATTAAGTAGAGTTGTAAAACTAATCATTATGCAGCATACTTAGGTAATAATTCAGTTACCCAAGGACGCCGGATTTCGAACAAACTTCTTTCCGGCTGCATCCAAAAACCATACTCCGTCAAAATGACTACTTAAGTAGCATGCTTTTTTCACTGATTTTCGATGCTCTTAAAGATTCAATTATGCTTTATAGAAAACAGGCATAACAATATTCATCTTTTCGCTCATTCGGTAGAAAATTACGTCTTCTTATTTTTCATTGAAACGTGCATAAAAATGTTCACTCTTTTGCTCATTTGATGAAAAATTACTTTTTCTTCCAAGTTCATACTCAAAGGAAGGATATAATTCGGTTTCAAAAAGTTTCTAATTGTGAGATTTTTTAATACCCTGAAATGGCCCTTCATAAAACGCCATGTTTTTGCATTTACCACTGTGGCTTGTAAAGGTAACAATGTGGTTCAAATCCACTGGTTAATTTTATAACCCCATATGGTCTCCTCTTTATATCGTAGAGAAATGTATGTTTTCCCGTACGCGGAAATTATACGGCTTGTAGTTTGGGAACCCTGAATGCAAGTGTGACGGCGGTCGGGTTCAAAATTATTCGGGAATCGGAATAGTTTTATAAAACTAAATTTACCCTTCCTTCGAGTACAAAATTGAAAGAAGGTGTAATTTTCTACTGAATCAGCAAAAAGTGAATATTTTGATGCATGTTTTCTATAAAATATTATTGAATCTTTAAGGGCATCGACAATCATTGAAAAAATGCATGCTACTTAATTATTCTTTTTTTGTGAAGTATGGTTTTTAAATATAGCCGGAAAGAGGTTTGTTCGAAAGCCGGCGTCCCGGGGTAACTGAATTATTTTCGAATTATGCTGCATAATGATCGGTTTTACAATCCTACTTGATTTATCTTTTCAAAACGAAAACGTATTTTTGAATTTCTGTTGAAGTTTCATGAGTTAGCCCACTTACTGTATATGCCTTCAGCCAATAATCCCATTTAGAGTAGGGTGATATCTCTGTCCAAAAAAATATATATATATGGTGGGTAGCGTTTACTGATTAGTTTACCGCCCATGCCAATCTCCTTGTACCTTGGGGGTCATTCTTGAGCTCTCGCAGCCATTTGCATAGAGCCGAATATATATGCAGGGGATAGAACACGGGCCAATTAAAGGTTGCCTCTTTTCTGGCTCACCAGCCGTCGTCAGCCATCTGTGTCAAACTTCGCGTTTGCAGGACCGGAAATACGAACAGATGCTGATTGGTCGTCGTTCGTGATTACGTCCAGCGATCTTCCATTGATAAATTCGAGCGAGTGTTATCGGGAATACACTATTTTAGAAGGAACGTTCAACAGGGCGTAATTATCTCGTTGTGTGCCCGCCACCACCAAGTTCATCTGATCTCAACCTTTGTGAGTACTACTGATTCTCTCCAAAGTTCAAAAAAATCGCGCAGCACCCTGGTCGAAAACGTGAAGAACTTACTAACGGAGGTTGGTTTTAGCCACGTTTCTGATCGACGGTTTTATCGGCTGGAATAATCACGCATTTTACTGCCGGAGACAATATCGATGCGATGGGCGTATTTCTAGTTATTCGTAGACATAGACTTTGTTTCGAACATCTTGTTGAAGGCATGGTGCATTTTAGTTCCGTCTCCAGGGAAATAATTCACTTCGAAGACTATCGTGCGGCAATTATCTCTGCTGAAAGCAGTTTTAGAACTGTTGCGGATGGGCTATTGGTTCTCAGTGTTTCTCGGAGAGATCGTACTGTTATTTGCACAGTTGGTCTATTTTTTATATCAGAAAACGAGGTGACGAGCATACGTAGCTTTCGATAAATTCTCATCGGACGAATACAGTTATATAGGAACGGGGTAGAAGTAAAACATGTCAGCGATACTAGAAATCGATAAAAGTTCTCCTTAAAACACAGGCGGGGTGTGGGAATGTGGAGAAGGGGAGAAGTAATGGCAGTCAGTGTCAGGGGCGGGGTGAGAGAGGAAGGGCGCGGGGAGAGTTGCGGCGTTAGTCGACCTTCGACCACTGTAGGCGCGGAGCCTGAACGTGCTTCTTCTGTGCGCACAAGATTGGTTTTCGCAACCTGATGGCGGCCCCCTCTGCTGTTGCTAACGGGCGCTGTCCCAGTGGTTTAAGATAGTTCGATGGGACCTTATAAATCACACGAAAAGCTTCATTGGGGTCCACACGATGTCCCACGATGTACCACACGATGTAGATATCCGAGTTCGAACTCCTGGTTGGATTGGCGAGGAAAAACAATAGCATAACTTGATAAGGATTAACTATATGCACGGGGTAAGGACAAGCTGTGGAGAACCGCCTGCTATATTTTTCAAGTTGTTGGTCCACCCTTCGTCAGTAGGATGACATTCGCTGGCCTGTACCGGCCCCGAGAAGCCCGTACTGCTGAAATGCCTGCATCCGTCATTGTTCTGCAACCCCCACACGTAAATATTTAGCAAGAGGAAAGCTTAATTTTAAAAGTACTTCGGCGCGGGGAGCAGTCAGGGAGTATAAAAGTACTCGGTAGATGGAATGCAGGAGTGTGAATGCGCTGCCGAATTTATTAAACGGTAATTGGAAGTTTCCCATCCCGCGCATATACTTAATCCTTGCCCATGACATCTTTGCGTTACTCACCTTTCTAAAATATTATTTACAATTGCGCCCTAAATAACTCAGGGGAAGAGATAAATTGTCAAAAGGCGTGCAAAAGCCGATGGAGAAGTCGGAAATCGCAGATGAGGCCAGTCAAGGCATGATCTGTAAAAACAAGTACAAGCAAAGTCTTTAGATAGTACTCAATGAATATACAAACAAGAGACGGAAAACGATTTTGAATATTTCTGTCTCAAATGCCATCAGAGCAGGCAACTCTAGCTCCGGAAAAAAGGCCACCTGCACGAAGATCCCAGCATCGTGAGGATTGACAGTCTTCATCTCACCTGGTTTGATATAATATAATAATATAATATAAGCGTTTTGATTCGCCTGGGGATTTTGTTTGGAGTCTCCAAAGGCCGTCACAGAAGGACCTGTAGGTAGTCATCAAGACCTTTCAAACACATGTCCTCGTCCTAGGGACTAGGCAAAACTGGACAGAGTAGACTGTAGCCCAGTCCCAGTGGTCGTCCGTTTTTTTATATTTGCTACACGTTTTGACAGTACAGATAGCGCTTATACGCCTCTTAAGTAGATCAACCTGTGGAAACAGTCATAGGAGCAAACTACTTCCCGTCATCTCTTCTCAAAGGATCGGGATGATCTGGGCCACGGAATGAACTCCCTTCCGTAGGCTTCGTCGTATAGACGGGGGTGGGGGGATTAGACGGTGTCGCCAATGGCTAGGCTTTCAAAGGGTGGTCCAGTCCATCCCATTCCTCTGAAAACAGATAACGAGAAGTATTCACCTATTCGACTGCTTCTACCATGTGATCTATGTGATGAACATTCCAACTCCACATGTACTGCGAAAATACACACTACTACTAATCATTTGCTCCAAAAAACCATGGACCCGTCCTTTCGAGTTTGGGCCACCCTTTAGAACGGCGACATGTGCCAACAGGGAAGGTACATTGAACACAAATCAGACAGGGTATTGGCGGTCATTTTCGATGTGTTTGCCCCCAACCAAAACCAAATGCTGGACCACGGAATCCTGGTGGGTCCTACCGACTTTGAATCCAGCACCGTGTCATCGCTACAGTAGGTGGACCAACTCATGAAATGTCAACCGAAATTCTGAAGTGCGTTTTCCTTTCGAAAAGATTAATTAAGTAGATTTGGAGAACTAATCATCACGCAGAATAATTCTATAATAATTCAGCTACCACAGGATTCCAGCTTTTGAACGAACTTCTTTCCGGCTGCATGCAAAAACCACACTTTGTGAAAAATGACCACTTAAGTAGCATGTATTTTTCACATTGCCCTTAAACATTTAACTATATTTCATGGAAATCCTACATAAAAATATTCATTCTTTTACCCACTCAGTAGAAAAGTACGTCTTCTTCCAATTTTATTCTCAGAAGAAGGGTATAATTTGGTTTTTGAAAAGTTTCTAATTGTGAGATTTTCTAATACCGTAAAATCGTCGTTCATAAAACGTCATGCCTCTGCGTTTACCAATGCGGGTCGTAAAGTTAACAACATGGCTCATATTAACTGCTGAATTTTGTGAGCCTCATATGGTTTCCATTTAATAGCGTAGAGAAACGTATGGTTTTCTGTACACTGAAAATATACGGCTTGTAGTTTGGAGACCCTGAATGTGATTGTAACTGCAGGTCGGGTTCAAAATAATTTGGGAATTGGAAAAGCTTTTGAAAACCGAATTGTACCCTTCTTTTAAGTATAAAATTGGAAGAGGACGTAATTTTCTAACATACGGGTAAAAGAAGGAATATTTTCATACATGATTTCCATGAAATATAGTTAAATTTGTAAGGGCCATGAGAAAAATGCATGCTATTTAAGTAGTAATTGTTGACAGAGTATAGTTTTGCATGCTACCGGAAGGAAGTTCGTTCGAAAGCTGGCATCCTGGCAAAACTGAATTATTGTAGAATTATGCTGCGTGATGATAAGCTCTCCAACTCTACTTAATTAATCTTTTCGAAATGAAAACGCGTTTCAGAATTTCGGTTGACATTTCATGAGTTAGCCCACCTACTGTAAGTGAAAGTACAAATGACTAACATATAGCCAATCCAGTCTGATGATGGGTTCGAGCAGGAATCTGAAACGTCGGGCCAGTAAAGCTCTTGTTTCAGCGATCGTGGCTCCTTCTTCAATCCAGTGCGAGCTTTCTCTGCCGGCCGACTGTTGAAGTTGCGTACATCAAACGTGAAAGTCCATACTCCAGCCAACATTCAAAGCAAGCGAACGTCGCACTTGTGTACATAGGTGTTGCCATTCTGTGTTTCAGTACCCGATTCGCGCATTCAGATCAATCCAAGTCGAGTAGAGACAGCTAACACTGTGAATGCACAGTTCAGGTCTTGCGAACCTCACTCCCGCCCAAGTAACACATGCTTAGGACTTGGATAAAAAACGCGGTGGTTCCTATTAGCATAACAGCAAACAAAATTGTGGGGCAAGATCTGACCACCAAAAAAACTACTAACAACAACAGGTCTCAAAGTTCAAGCCTGAGAAATGTGTTCACTAGAACAACAAGATATCACTTTTGTTCATGTGGTCTTTTTTAACCCCTGCATAACTGAGTGCTGCTAGCAGGCAGGATTTGAACGTTTCCCAACATTAACATGCATGCGGCGCGTCTGTTCCCAGGGCCTGAATTTGAAATCACATGGGGAGACCTTATGATTAGCGTTTATTCGGCCTAATTATGACTGAATGTATTTAGAGGAAGGGTTGGCGCAGATGTTGGATAACGGAAGCTTGCTTTTTTCTATTGTCCAAACAATGAACCTGTGTTCGGACGGCCTGTAAGAGTCGACTTATTATTTTAATTAGTCTCTAAAAGTGATCAGGGTTTTTTGTTTCTCGGAGGCGCGTAGCTGAATCACTATATTGTCTTTTATGGCGTACGCGTTACGATTGGACAGAGTGGCCTGTCCGAGATAGCAGCTGATTATTTCCGAAATCCAAAACCTGAGTTGTGGGTTCTAAGAAGCGAATTATAGAAAGACAACGGTTTATGTGACATCTCCAGTTTCGTCAAAGATCGATTTTAACGACTATTGATTGTGGATTTATTTCAAACACCTCTGCCTGACAGCAGGCTAAGTCGGCCTTGGTGGACAGTTTCGGTACAGTTCAAGAAACTTCATTCAATTACCGCAGGAAACTTTTCAAAACTCGGTCATAACCAGGCGCGCCGGGAATGAAGTTTGTGATTTAATATATACGTATGCCTTTGTAAAACATTATATGTTAGGATCCGCTCCTGTAGTCGCACTCTGTGACCATAATACTGTTGAGCTACTGATTTGTTTTGAGTAGGCGTGATTAAGTTGATATTGTGTACTTGTGCGTTGTCGTGCCCGACCTGCAAGTGCTCTTCTTCTTTCGTTATCCTGCCTGGTTTTTGGGCAGTTCTGCATACTCTATCCTCAAAGGAGACACAATCCCTTTTTCTGATCCAACTACTGGCATGGTCCCCTTTCTGTGTGCCTTTTTCTTCTCCTTCTTTCATCCAGTGAGCGGCTATGTTAGGTACACAAAGTCACAGTTGACGCCAACTTGCGCAATGCCATTGGTTCCTCTGACTTTCGGCTTGCCGTCCCTTCTTTTCCTCGAGTTGCTTGCTCCGTTCCGCTCGCCCTCACCTTCTCTTCTAATAAAGCCTTAGCTAGGCCTCTTTCTGCATGATTTCACCTTCTTTTTAATCCAGCCAGTGGCTAGGCTAGGTACAACCGACTTGATACCAACTTGTCCAATGCACTTGGTCTCTTTCGCCTTCCGGTTAATAGTCTGATCCAATTCCTCTAGTTGCCTGCACCGTTTAACATGCCCTCACCTTCTCTTCTAATCTAGCCCGCGGTAGGTACCCTTTCCGTATGCCTTTACCTTCTCTTTTTAAGTCAGCGAGTGGCTAGGCTAGTAGAGCAAAGGCATTGTTGACAGCAGCTAGTCAAATGCACTCGGTCCCGCTGACTTTCGGTTATCCGACTATTTCTAATCAGCCCTGATTCAGTTATTCAGCCAATGTTCTGTTTCAAGAATGGGCTTTTTCGAGAACATTAAATTCTGAAATAAACACGCTAGTGAATTGACTTCAGTAGTTGGCATGAAGAGAGATTTTAAGCGTTCACCTATTGCGTGGACAACGCCCTGCAGCTCACGCATAAATACCTTCTGCCATAAGTATTCGCATCTAGGGTTAAGGCAGGCGTTAGGAAGTTGAACAGTCTACAAGTCTTACACATCAGCGTTATGAATTACTAGTACCGACAGGTTGTCTAAGGTCGCCCTTTTACCACTTTGATACGGTTCTTGAAACCTCGGTAAGAGTGCAAACGTGGCTTCAAATTATTTGGAAGTCCAAAAATAATACTGTCTGGTATGTTTGCTTTTAGACCTGTTGGAAGTCTCAGAAAGGGATGATGATTGTGGCAGTCCACTTGAATGAGGAAAATAAAATAGCTGCAGTCAGTGGCGTAAAGTTCGCGAACAGGGAGATTTTCGGTTTAAAGTTTATCTTGTTTGGGTCTACAAAGGTGGACGCAAGAGGTGGTTATGGCATATGAAGTTCTCCAATCAGAATGACCACAGTAGTTTACTTCCCAGTCTGTACACCAATTCGGTTTAATCATCTCCAACAAGTGATCATTTTCCTTCCATAACCGAGTGCGCAACTAATACTTTCGTACATGTTATATTTTTTCTGTTCCTCAAGGAATTCTAAGACTTAATCGACTGCTGTTATCTTTGAAACTCTAGTAATAGACAGAATTATGTCTGCATATTTTCTGAAACGACGGCTACCTCACTAGCTTAGCTAAAATAAGGTAATAATGAAAACAAGAGTAGAAGAGAGCTCATCAGAGGGTTATTGTGGTCAGTGGGGTCGCATAGTAAAAATAAGGATAACGCTAAGAAAACGCATACTTTCTGCTATCTTAATTCCATGCATCAGGTTGGAAAACCCTGTAGGCACGAGGGTTTGCGACTATTGTAGAAATATGATAGATGGGGGACTAATGAATTTCAGAGCAGGCGCCCACCGTCCAATTTCAATAATTGTTGCCTTGCTTGTTACGCCAAAAATATTCTTCATAAAATCATTTGCTTATTTTTCTTGACAAGCAGGGAATTTGAGCAAAAGGATGCCTGTTTATGCTAGAAATTCCGTTTTTGACACTTATGGAAGGACGGAATTCTGTGAGTTAGAGTTCTATCTTCGAAAATTACATAGCGAATCTCATTTCGAGGCGTTCCTGCATGACAGAGGTTAAAACGCCAGTCACGATATATGTATATTTCTGACTTGTGGATAGCCTTTTTTTCAAAAACTGCGATGTACTACGCATGTAGCTGATAATGAGTACTAGGACTTATGGCCTGAAAGTCAAGTCGCAGATTCACTCCCTCCATGGCATACCTCCTCTTTTTGCGATCTTTGTTTTTCAGGCCCTATTGAACGTCTGTGGGCTCGGACTTTGAGTAGAGTAGAACAGCAGTATCGACGAAGACAAGGGAGACTGGAATTGCTATTCCTGGCTTATTAGTTGCCGGCAGCCAGGTATATTCAACCGCCGAGCCTCGTAACCACTGGGATTCGGTCCACTGGGAGTCCAATGCCTCTAACCACTGAGCCACGGGCTCGTTTTCCTGTTCTTCCAAAAGCCATTAAATCCAGCTAAAATCAAAGATCAGTTGAAGGCGCCGAATAATCCGGGAATGGTGTTGTTATTATCGTAGTACTTAACGACACACCTACTGTATTAATGTACGGCACCGCCCAAAAGCATCTCTGATCCCGGACATGCTTAGTCGATTGAAATGAAGAGTATTTTCCCGGAGCTGTCTTGCTCACGTAGCATAGTGACCGAGTAAAGTGTTCTACCATCGGAAGGTCAGATCGGTTGTGCTACTGATCCCGAGCGTGGTTAGAATGCAACACATCACTTTTCGTCTCATTTCAAAAAGGTCAGTCTGGTATAATCCCGCATATTTTCGTTTCGCAGTAGAATTGGTAATTGGTTGATTACATGGAGGAAATGCTCAATGATCTAAGCACATTTTAGGATGGAGAAAGGGTTTTCCCATTTCCTATGACGGAATCACCGGAGCGGCTTCGCAGGGCTGTTAAACAGCGCCGCCTGACCAGTAGTGGAGTGGTTTACCAATGGGGAGAGACGGGACTTTGCCTGACGCCTCAGGCGTGCTTACCAGTAGCAGTTAGTCTTAGCTCAAAACCAGACCTTAGGACCTCAGATTAGAAGTCAAGCGCACTAAACTGAATGCGTCTGCGTGATAGCTAGAGCCATGAGCAGACGCTAACCACAATGATACCAATTGCGAGAGCACTGTATTCTGCCAGGACTAACTGAGGATAGGTCGGAGCATTTGCCAGCCGAACGCGATAACGTAAGTGGCGTCGCCAGAATAAGAGCCCAAGTGCTACTGGGGTTGGTGTCACAGCGTCTCGAGCGAGAGCATGACACATCGACCTTGGGGTTGGTTGACCAGCTCCGATAGCTGTGATTGGTTGACAAGCAGGCTGCCGCTGGTACTTGCACGCAAGTACGCGCCAGAGGAGAATTGTTACGGTTAGTATACGAAGTAGGGTTACTACACGTCCTCGGGTGAGACTGATGACGCCCAAAAAAGCCTGAGTTTGTTGCCTGACTAGCACGTGAGACCAATGTGGAAATTTCGTCCCAATTTTTGCTCGTAAACAACTGTTTTGTTGAATTTCGCCCTTATGTAACTGTCCCAAATGCTATAAATCTAACCTACAACAGCGGATCGAAACGACATAATAATCCGCGTTATAAAAACAGACATCCCTTTTTTCAGAGTCCAGTTAAACTAATCGCGCCTAGATACCGTTGGTAAACTTCCGTATGACGTCATAAAGTTTATGCAAGAACTGAAGTATTCAAATTTCAGATGGGTTTTATCCGACGATGTCAAGTTATTGACTTTTTTAGAAAGACCTTTGACATAGTCTCACCCCAGAGCCCCTGAAACCGCAGTGGTCTGCTTGGAGGAATCCTAAGACATCGGGACGTAACAGCACGTTGCCTATTTTAAGGGCAAAAAGCTTATGCGATGTTAATTAACTGGCTGAAGGAGTGGAAGAAGAGGCATTTTAAGCCAGCGTTGGTATAGGAGACTGAAAGTGATTATTTTGTCATTCTTAAATGCCAATTAAGGTTGAAAGTAACAACAGGAGATTGAAAAAAAGATCCGACGCCTTTTCCTCTACGATCGTGATGATCTTTTTCATTTGGTTCACAGCGTCCAAAGCTTCCGAGGGGAAGGTTCAAGAAGGTCCTTTCTTTACGCCGTCGATATCCTGAACCACATCCTACTGGACAAGTCAGCGGTTGCAGAAGCACCAAGATTCGAAAATTTAACTGTCCTACGATTTCATTTAGTCTCAGTGGGGTGAAGCTAGTCTACCAGTAGGATTAGGCGTCGAGTTGGTCTTCCTCTGGACAATCAATGATGTCCTCACGTAGCAATGAGTCTTTTGGACACACAATCACTCCTTCGGCTCTCACCGTTTGTTCATTTCTCATTTCACTTTTCTGACATTTTCAAAAAGTGATTGAGAAATTAGATTGTCGTCGGCCCAATTAAACGCGTATGTTCCAAGAATCTGTTGTGCCCAAGTGGTGTGAGTGAGTATGTCTGTACTCAGAGCGCTACTATCGTCAGCCCAAATACCATGTTTCAAGGAGAAGACGAAAGGCATCAGAATGAGAGGTTTATTGTGCAAAGAACCCCGCAGGTGGCAGTGGCCACTGACGAAGCCAGAGCTGGTGTTGAGTGCATCCAGTCAGGCCTGAGAGTCTCTAGAAAGGGGTGTCAGCCGCTTTTGTGGGCTCGTGGGCCAAGCTCAAGTGGTGTCCAATCAGTGTGTATCGCATTTGCCGATGGGTGGTGTCCATGTGGCTTGTTTTGCTGGTTGTAGTGAGGAGGTGCGTTCCAGTGGCACATGGGTGGCCACGAGGCTGTGGGAACGCAATTGTGTTCGAGCTGAAGTCGATCGGGTGGCTTCAGGTCAGCGCGTCTGGAGCGGCTCACAGCAAAAGGGTGGACGACCTTGAGACAGTGGGGTCTTGAACAATGACGCCAGACCGGTCATGGTGGCTGCTCGCTACAAATCAATTAAGTGGGAATTCCTGTTGGCAGTTATGGCTGCAGCATGTAGAGAATTTCCAAAGCAGTAACATTCTTGCCTTGGGGCGGGGTAGAAATGCGATCTTTAGAATTTCGGCAGAGTGGGCTGCTTAGTGAACGGCTAGGAACAGTTCTGACTCAGCTAGTCAGGAATTAGCGACCATCCGATTTCTCAAAGTCATTGCTGTTCCTGTCAAGGTAGAATGATCGGCAGCTTAAAGGAAGACATTTAAACAGACAGTTTGTTTTGGCCACAGTCTGCGTTTAAAAAAGGATTGGTTTGTAGTTAACTGCTATTTGGCAACGAGGAGGGACGACGAAGGATGCGGGCAGATTGATACAGTACTGTTTCGGGCTTACTGTGCCTTCATTCAGCCAATCATAATCCTGACCAACACCTGGTACCAGAAACAAAAACACGGTGTGCGTCCATTCCTGATTGAATAACTGTCCGATCTGCAGCGACTGAGAATGAAAGATGGCGAGGCACTGATGAACTTCGGTTTGATGAAGTGCTTATGACTCATCTGGTAGACCCCAGTGGTGGACCAACTGCGCCAGGTGCGTCTGTGAGCATATTTGTGTTTCTGGTCCCAGTTGTTGGTCAGGGCTATGACTGACTGAATGAAAGCACAATAATCCCAAAACAGTACTGTATCAATCTACCCCCAACCTCTGTCGTCCCTCCTCGCTGATATTATGAATTGGCCGACCTCGGCCTGGTAATTGATTGCCTGTTCGTGGCCTTTGCCACCCATACGTAGCTTGTTTGCTTCGTGAAGCCAATAGATCGGTGTGCGCCCATTCCTGATTAACTGCTATTTCTTTCTAGTGGAACGACCACCTACTTACAGATACTGATGTTTTAATCCACATTGACAAACTGGCTTTCTGTGCATTTGTATTCCAGTTGTGAATTTGTTTTCGTTCTGAAATCTACGTTATATACCACGACGTACTTCCAATACATAGACCTACATATCTTTTTACAAGCCATGCCTATTTACATTGTTAGACTTGACTTTTCTTTTGCCTCTTTCTTACCAGCCTTTAGCCTACCTTGTGAAACTTTCTTCTCGATCTGTGTTTTGCATTTTTGTAAATTTTTGTCTGCTAATGTGTCTCCAACATAGCTTTCAATCTGCGTTATTTACATGTCGCTTACGGTCTGCGGCCAATTATCATTGGCTGCTATTTTGCTTGGAACCTCAGCTTCAGTTATTTAAATGGCGACGGCCTATTCAGTTGCCTGAATTTCCCTGACTATAGTTTTTATTTACTCGTTCGAATTTTTGTGCTTACTTGCCGTTTACCTCTACGCGCATTCGAAAGGTTTCAATGAATTTTCTCATCTGCTCTCTCCATCTCCTCTTCCGTGTGTCCGATGGTCTCAGCGTATAGCCTCTCTTACCACCATTGTCGTTAGGCAGGCTGCTAAGGTTACCTATTTCTGACCATACTCTCTTTCTTGCAAGATTTTTTAAGATCTATCCTTGGACGAAAATTTTCGGTCCCATTAAAATTACTTGTTTTGGAGGCAGTGTCAGTTTGAAAATTACTAACTTTCATAGATGTTGAACATGTCCAATTATTCATTCACTTTCGCTCAGGTTGTAATGCCTTAATTGAACTAAGGTTTCTCATATAAAATTTTCGACGTTTGACATAGCTCCTACTATGAGAACACAGTTTCTTTAGCCGTCCGGTAGTTCGAAAGCTGAACTCACCCCTAAGCGCAGTCGTGGCTTGTGATCCCATGCTTGTTTTAAAGATGTAGTTGAATGGTTTGCATATTGACGAACAACGCAAAGGAGTTGTCTACCGATAACAACTAACTTCAGTCTCCTACGTCATTGCTCGTGTATCGCGCCACTGCACGTTTGATGTAAATGACTAATAAAGCACTGAAGATGTTTAGATTTCACACTGACTGTATTGGACTATATTTACAATTTCAGCAGTATATTAGCATGGTCATTAATGACCACGCCTGTAACCCTTAGATAAATAGGCAAGGCGACATATCAGTGCGCAGCCCTTGGGCCCTCCTTGTTTCATACCCTATGTTCTGCCTACTGTTATCACTTAAGTAATCCTGTACTGTTTCATAGGTTTCACTTGCTTAGGTTGGGCTACTTTGCTGCCTAATGTTTGTCGGCGCTCGGTCCAGCTGCGTTCGCATTTTTGCGCGTCGCTCTCCCCCGAATTCCGCCTCAGCGGAAACGTGTTATTCATTGTGCGGCTTTCCCAGTAATGGCCGACCCACCGAACCGAACCCGCGGCACGCTTACCCATTCCTTGCGCGTAAGTCAGCATAAAATGCAAGACAGAGAGTTTAGCATAAATATTGTTGACGCAAATCGTGGAAGGGATAATGTTACAAGGGCTCTTTCTTTGTCCCGGATAGCCATCCCTCGTTCGGGTTGTTTCTACATGGGATGACACCGCTCGCATCCCACTGGTCTCACCAATGCCCTTCACTGTCTCATTTGGCGGCGTCCAATCATGGTTCTGTTTGGCACGGCGGGCTCCTCGTTATATCTGCCGTAGTGTCCATGCCCACCGGACACGCGTCCGCGATATGGCGCAGGAAGGTCAGTCAGTAAGTCCGTCAGTCAGTGTATTTGAGGGAAATAGGCTTACGCCTTTGAACTCCCTATTTGTACATAAAAAAATCGATAAACAAGCAAAAATGTGAAGAAATTACAGCATTAAATGAATGCATTCATTGATTCACATATGTCACTAGTCACATGGCTAAAAAGTCACATAGTCCGCTTGTTGCTGCAGCATACATTCGTCAAGGCTACATTTAAATGTCTCCACAAATTGAGACATAACAACCGTCTCGGGCAGGTTATTCCACGGTTCGACTACACGGTTGGAGAAGAAATATTTTCTCACATTCAGTCTACCCTGTGGCACACGTAACTTGAAGGGATGTCCCCGGAGTTGAGTACCAGTCTTCATCCAGATTGTCCACCTTTACGCCGAGCCACAGTCCGTATTGTATGTCATCAAAATGAGCCCACACCGCCCTCACGTACACTGGCCCACCGTTGTGCATATTTCGCATAAGTCTGCTCCAATGTGCCTCAGTGCCATCGGTGTGACTGCCGGTTGTGGGATCTACAAAATTTACGGAAAAGATTAAGTCTTGTGTCGGTAACCTTCAGACGGAAGGCGTGCGTAAAACTTCCACTCGCCAGTTGGAGTTATGGTGTCCGGCATTACCTACTTCTTTATGGCAGCCGTTAATGAATACAATCTTTCGTCGCTCAAATTATCAAACAGGGCTTTCCTGCTCGCCAACCGTCCACTAGTGCCTCCTTGTTTCTTCTGTTGATTACTATCACATCCACCTGCACTTCTAAATCAGGAACTTCAGTTTATGAGGGCTCGTTTACTAAGACCCTCAAACAGACCTCTACCATATGGCGTATCATTTGACGGCCGTAGTGCGACTTATTCTGACAGAGGCAGCACACCGCCATAACCTGGTTTCCTCAAGGAAGCCCAGGAAAACCTTGAGGATGATGCATGTTGTCTTTTTGCTTCTCTCAGATACCGATCCAATGTGCAGCGCCTTCTTGGGCTTACACATGTGGTAGCGAAAGATATAAACAGACGTGTGTTGGCGTAGTACTTGCTGTGTCATGTTCTGTTGACATCGGGCATTTGAGATTCCTCGACAATAACTCCTTCCGATAGCAGTATTAAATCACATCGACCGTGTTAATTGCCTGCTCAACCTCCGCCAGGAGCATCGGTTTGTCCACCTGCGGGCCCGTTCTGTGCGGATTTCTTGACAATGGCCTAAAATAGAAAAGAACCCAACCCAATTTGTAAGTTTTCGCACTGGACGTCCTAACGATGACAGGAAAATACAACGTTTCACGTCCAATCCTAATTTACTTGATTTTTGCCTCATGTTGTGAAATAAAACTTTTCGTTTCCGTGCTAACTTCCCCTTTAATCCTGGTTCATTTGTTGTCAGATATTTTGATGTATAAAAAACAGACTTGTCCGTTTCTGCATGGTGCGTGTCGCTGACGCGACGTGAGCCTAAGTCTAGGTATGCTACCATGCACACTCATTGGTTATGGGAAGCGCGGACTCTACGCAGCCCACCAAATGTGTGCCGTGCCTGACCTGGTCTCCTTTTCGGTCTAGCGCACCTCCCGCGTGGCATCTTGAAGGGCCTGACAGGGCACGTACACAGATCTGCCCATAATGGAACTAAGAGTACTTTACATAATGAAAGGCATATCCCCTTCCGTTGAAATCATCATTGTTCAAAAGCTTCATGCTATAGCTAGTCCTTTCTTAGCATTGATTAATTCCTTCGTAACCAGGTCAGTGTACAAATTCATTTCTCGTGTTAATCACTTACCCGGTTGCTTGCTACTAGGAATATCTATAGTAAGCGGATAATGAAGCGGCCGTAAACGAGGAATGACAGTCTCCCGGATCAGGCAAACAAGTATATGTGACCGACAAAATACAGTACACAGAGGGCAGGAAGGACTGAGGCCTGTCATACCAGCCGAATCATAAAATAATACAGGCAGATGAAGGCACTGGGGCATTTACAGTGAATCGCTATTCAGCAAGTTTGTTCGGCACCATCGCCATGTGGCTAGCTTCTTTAGCTACTCTCTTAGCGGCAAAAATATCTAAAAAAAAACAGTCGGAACGGCCGTTCAGGTGCATCTTTAGGCCGCCCGAAGACCTGGCATGCATACATGCACAAACATACTGTTATTATAAATACTACTGCTAAAGCGTTGACACAAATACTTAAATGCCTTCAGGAACTGTTCTGCATGAGATATCTCTTGTTAAGGCGTCATTTGTCTACGTTAACTAAAATCGAAAATGTCGAAAACTTCAAAATTTCCATAACAAAAACGCACAAAGCATATTTTCCGCCATCCTAGACTGTCACACTTCAATGGGCAATGTCCCACTTTATAACCTGTGTCTAACTCTGTCCCAAGAATATCACATAGCCGACTTTCTGATACTTGTTCACCAGGTTTCTGATAGGATTCCGAGGCTCTCACCTATTCCGGACTTTAAATGAGTATCTCGCTATACATTCCGTACATATTAACTGTTGGCCTGATACCATTACCTTTTATTTAGAGTTGACCCCTTTAGTTGCTGCTCAGTATCACTTCTGGGAACGTTGAATAAAGTAAATATTATGCCACAGTACTCCGCCGTTATAGGTAAATGAGAGTGCCGCCCGTTACATCAAGAACAGCGCGGGTGTTAATTTCAGCGGTAAGATCAAGACGTTCTGCACTGTGTGATAAAAGAATAATGAGGATAGG